TACTGCAGCTGTTGTTGCTTATTTACCAGCTTGTACAGTAACACTGATAAATCTGCTAATCTTAAATCCTGACTGATTGACTGGTGCATTTACAGTCCAAAGTTTGGACACAAGTTTATTCAAAGCATTTTTTTTTTGGTAAAACAGCAGTGAAGACTTTACAATGATAAATATGAAATGTAGTACACAAAGTGTGTATACAAAGAAGGCATGTTTGTGTTGACTTGGAGCCTTCTGTAGAGCAGTTTCACCTTTGAGCCTTACCGGGTTCTCCCAGGATAATAAATTTAACATGTCATTACCTTGGAATTCTTTCCCAACAGTTCCCATTTAGTCTGAGCTCTCGATGAGTGCTTTTCTTAAACCCTGTGGTTCAGCTCCGCCCAAGTCATCTTGGGTGAGTTGAGGTTGTTAATTGTGGACTGCAACACGGCGTTGCTCTGCGTTTTGGTCAAAGAGGCCTTACAAAGTGTGGAGATGTGTTTGGTCCAGCTCTGCTTGGACTTGAAATGCATTAAGAAGTCAAAAACAGGGTCTTTCTATGTGGAGTCTTCATGTTCTCCCCGTGTTTGGGTGGGTTCTCCCCGGGTACTCCAGCTTCCTCCCACAGTCCAAAGACATGCAGTTAGTGGGGAAAGGTTAATTGGAAACTCTAAATTGCCCATAGGTGTGAATGCAGGAGTGAATGTGAGCAAGACTGGTTGTCTCTGTCTATGAGTTAGCCCCACGACAGATTGGCGACCAGCCCAGGGTGTACCTTACCTCTCGCCCTAATACAGCTGGGATAGGCTCCAGCGCCCCATGTGACCCTGAAAAGGATAAGTGGAAGCGAATGGATGGAGGGAGGATTTGAAGTCTTCAGTTTTGTCCTATGATATAAGAACTGTAAGCACTTGTTAGTGTGAGCGCACCTTTTACAAAAATAGCTGTAATGTTCTCGTTGTGTTCTGTGGGTGTTCACACACAGACTCTGGTGATTACTGAAAAGAAAGAAAGCTTTTCCACAGCTTTCTTTGGAGTCATACTTTTCTGTTAAAGCAGGAACCTGCAGCTTCTGTTTAACAGAAGCTACAAACACCCACTGTTGAACTCTGCTTTATTGTTTGTGCTTGACAACCAGTTGTTGACTCTATAAAGACACTGATACAAAATATACTGCACTGAAATGAAATGCACGTTGGCCTTTATGATAGTCTGGACCTTTGTTTGAGGAAACTCTCTAACTGGAGTTTCTATACCAGTGCTATTCACCGTGAGTTGAGTACCAGTGGTGTTAGCTGTGGAAAAATGTGAGCACAGCCCACCTTTTTGCCTACTGTAATAAAACACATAAATAAATGAAACTAGGTGCTAGTAGTATGAAGCTGGGTTGTTTAACAAAAACCTTAAAAAAGGGACTTGTTGTTAGTTATGGATACTCTTGCCCGATGTTGCAGTATTTGGCACCCAGGTGAATTGCTCCCAAATAAAAATGGCTGAACCTTGATTTAATCTTTATTGGTGTTTACTTTGTTTACAACCACCCAGTTTTGTCAGCACAGAGAGGTGTGTAGTGGGTTATTGGATTAGCTTAGCTTGGAAATCAGAACCTGTCACATGGCAATCACACAATAGTTTGTTGAAACACAAACTGACGCCAGAGCGCACCACAGTAAGAAAACGATTCTTTCCTAAATAGTTTTCACTTGTTAATTTGGAACTATAGAAAACGGTTAAAGGTTATTAAAGACTCAGAGTAGAAACCTTCATCCTTGGTTGTCCTGCACCAAAGGTTTTTAAGATTATTCAAGAACGACCCTTTATATTTAAGGCTTCAGCTTTTATAAATAGTACTTTGTTCAGACTGTGTTACAATTACCTATTTATTATGGTAGTGCTAAAGAAGATTTAACTTCCTGTAATGGCCACTGGTGACTGGCTCCATGAGTGAGTCAGTGCCAATATTAAATCTTTACATCAAAGTACATTTTTATGGTTTTGTAGAAGAACAAAACAGTTCTGTGTGCTAAGTTTTATCTCCTAACCGTGTTTGCTGTGATGCTGCCTTTTGAAGCTTTTTTGGAGGTTTGTTTTGTAATTTTCTGACACAAACATGGTTTGCTACGAAGTACTGAACACAATTCTACTATTTAGTGTGTTGCCTTGTACTGATTAGCAAACATGGATCCAGCTAATGGTTGAACGTGCTAGTTTTGGCTTATAATTTAGCACGCCACCATCTGATCTTAATAAGGTCAATTATGATTAAATCTTTCAACACCGATGGCCACGAAGGAGCTGAACACGACAAATGTTTGCCTGCTTTTGTGCCACACCTAATATTTTGCTCACTTCAATCACCTGAAGCCTCGGGGAAATCATGCATCTCGTCCGTGTGTTTCCACATTTGCTGTTACACAGTGATTGGTCAGACGGGGGCATTTTTGTCAGTCATTCATTTCATCGTCCAGTTGTCATGTGACAGTCCCGATCACCAGTGCGGTTCTGTTCCCCTTTGAACTGCTCTGATTGGCCGGTTTCTGTGATCAGTCTTCTCCCTCCATCCTTGGATCTGTTGCAGCACAGTTGCTCTTTCTTGCAGTTGCAGCTCTCAAGGGCTTTGTATTCTTTCAGGGGAGAGAAGAAAGACAAAATCTTAGTGAGATGAGAGAGATTTTATAACCGGCTTTTGTCTTTTGTGCCACATGCACACGCCCACATTCACTCTCTGGAACAAAGAATGGTGTCAGGAGTGGCCACAACAGGAAGTTGCCCAGGGATTAGATCAACAGTACAAGACTCTCTGAGGCCTTTGCTCCTCCCTCTGAGGGTTTGAGCAGTCCTATACAGTAAAGTTCACACTGTGAGTCTTGAAAGAATATTTTTCAGGAAGTTTGGTGTTTTCAATATCAGAGACACAACGAGAGAGAGAGAGAGAGAGAGAGAGAGAAACTGACTGCACAGCTGGGAGATCAAAATGGGAGGAGATGAAATAAGTGCAGGAAAGATCGTGCTCCGCACGTGGATCCACAGTGCTGGAAGGATTTGGGGTAGCTCCCCTGCTATTTCCAGCCCCAACTCAAAGAACTGCTGTACTCTGCTGGATTTAGTGAATGTTATCGGCTGCACCATAGCAACACTGATGGATATTTTAGGGTCACTAATTATTTCAGCTCTATTCAAAGATCATTCATAGAGTCATTGCTGTGCTTGGTTCCATCTGTCCACCAGTTCTTACATTGATCTAACTCAGTTATTATACACTAAAAGGAGTGTGTAGTAGTATTTTAACAGTCTGGCTGTTCAGCCTGACAGTGCTGTCTTTATAGTTCAGGAATTGCCATAGGCCAGCAGCTTTGCACGTCTTCTCACCTATGCAATATATTGAGCTGCTGCCAGTTCACCCGTTTGTAGATTCAATGTGTTTTTCCGCTTTCATTAAGCACTTTGGCTCGACGCCGGCAGCAGCTATTCAAAGGGAAGACTCGGGAGAAAAGTGTTAAGGTGGCTGGTAGTGCTCCCTGATATCAGAGCCATGTTATCTGGCTTGAGGCACAACCTGTAATAACGAGCGTTAACATCCAGATGATCAATGGATCAGGCTTTTTTTCTCCATTTTAAACAAAAACAGCTTAGTTAATCGTGTACACACACACACACAGTGGTGACCTATATTCACAGAGTCACAGAAATTTAATGAAACTTAATTAAAACTTAATTAGAGGCAGTGATTTAAAAAAATCCAAATTATAATCAAACGGCTCAGTTTCACATAAGAAAACGTCAAACTGAAAGTATTTAAGCCTCACTGCTTTTTGTAACTTGACACTAGCTGTCTGTTACTGGCCTACATAGCATTAAACATAATACTGTAAGCTAATAATAAGGTTTTTATATCTCTATGCATGTGTAGCACAACTTTAAACTAGTCTGTGAAAAGACTGACGGTGTATTCTACCCAGCGTGGGTTTACGGGGTCCCAGACACCAAATATTTTAACTCTTGAAAGATCAGGATTTCTTCACTGCAAGTAATTCAAACCATGCTGCAAAATATCTTTGACTGTCCTCGTGTTGTGGACGGACTCATCTGTCTGATGTTTGGTGCATTTTGGCGTCTTCTTCCTGCCTTATGGTTTGTCTTTGCTGATTGGGAACACTGGACATGCTAAGTTGTTATTAAGAACAATTGAACTTGCAACATACTCACTGCTTTCGCCACTTCACCTCAAGATAAATGTTGTTCCTTATATAGACAAGTATACATTGGAAGGTTGGAAGCATGCAGGTTGTATTCAGATTTCCTGTTTGTTTTGAATGATTCTAATTCATTAACACATGCGTGGTGGTAAAAACAAAACAGGCTGGTGCAAAGGGGGAGTGTCAGTGCCAGCAGAGGGGACATCCCTGTATGTGCTTCTGTTATTATTGATCATTATTGTGCATTTTATGGTAGGTAATTTACCCGAAGAACATGCAAAGAATATTAGAACTTCACGAGCGAAGAGTTTTTCTCCTGCTAGCCTCAGAAATGACAAGCAAGCCATCTGGAAATACTGAAACAAAGAAGACTAAGCTGGTCAAACTAGTTACCTTTGCAGTTGGGATTTGCAGCAACCAATGAACGGTTGAGGAGATTGAAACCACTATTCTGCAAACCTGGTAACAGTAACGCAGATGATAAGTTCTCTAAAATGTTAACAATATGTTTTTGACAAGCACATGAAATGGTTGCCAAGTAACCTTCTAATATTATAGTTGCATTATCTTAGCATAAAGATTTATTATTAGCTATTAAAAACAGACACAAGTGCATTCAGACAAGTGGCATTTAGTTAGTCGGCTAATAAAGACTTTAGCCATTTGAAACTTACAAAGTGACAATTCACTCTGTTATTTTGAAAGGCAAAATGACATCTTCCTCTTTCTCCCAAATTAAAAATATGACGAGTGGTGTTGCTCAACCTCTTTCATTTCTATA